GCCCTCTCAGGTATCAAGCCTCTAGCCAGCCCCTCTCTATGGGTAGAGACCCACATGCCTCTCCTTTTTGACTAGGGTTTGAGGATTGCAGCTTGTCCTCCACTGTCTTCACTGGACTAACGTCCAGTTCCTGTGCTTTGCTTTCTCTCAAAGGGCTGTGAGCAGTGTGTGTGTGTGATAGAGGTGGGAATTTTGGTGCAGGGAGCTCTACCGCAGCAAATACAAATGGACAGGCACAGTAAAAGGAAAACAAAATGTTTTCTACAGCAGCATGGCTCAAGGGCATTGGCCAGTATGGACCATATTTTCTTCTTTGCGTCTCAGTCCTAATCTAAGGACTTTCCAATGCTGTGTTTTGGTTGACTAATAAGCCTGCTATGTTTTAAGTCTGTCCAGTGTCAAAGCAAAAACTTTCTGAGCTGCACTGAAGCATGAATGAGGAATAGTTTCTGAACAGGAGTGTAGTTCAGCTGGACCTGCTGGCAGAGCTCACAGGTTGAAATAGGAGTGTTGAAGCCAGAGGCTCAATCTCAGATGTTGAAGCTACATGGTCTATCCTTGTGGAAGAGTGGGACCCCTTGGGGGTCTAGCGCACTCAAGGGGCACCTCCCAAGGACTGTTTAAAAGCCAGGGCATTGCACAGATCCTATGAAACCATGACAGTGTGCCAGGGGTTAAGCCTTATGGGTGAAAAAGTATAAAACAAGACCATCCAAATGCGTATTTACCGTCGTCCCCTCATGAGTCCTCTTGGTAATCCCTGATAGGTTTTAATACACTTTGGAACTGTTCTTAAAGGCTTACCTCTTGGTTATCAGTTCATGTCAGTTTGTAGCCCCAAAAGACCACCCTCAATCAGCTCAAACGCAGCTGTTTCTCCCAAAAAAGTCTATTTGTCTTTTTCAATCTGCTGAATGAGGTGAAATCAGTCACTGCCCCTTTCTGCGTGGGGCAAAGTTCAAAAGATGGAGATCTGCATAACCAGCCTTTAGATCTTGCATTCATCACCTTTTAGTGATACCAGATTTCACAGGAATCCCATCCCTGAGCCCTCCCCGGGATTATCTGGCCCATCTCAGCATCATAGTGTGTGAAAAATTCATGCTTTTAAGGGCTGGATCAAATATACAGATATCAGTCATAACTAGGATCAGTGTTTGCTGGCAATGAAAACAGAGTAATTGACAAACATGAGCAATATATAATCCTTTAGCATGAAAGTGCTGTGATGGGTTGGATCAGAGAACCCCCCTTGGGAACTGCCAACCGATGTGCCAAGACTACTTCTGCTCCCGCTTTCCTGCCCTGGTAGCTCAGGACTCCAGCCCTCTGTCTTGTTAAACCAGACATGCCAGTCTGCTCCAACAAGGACCCAGGGTCTGAACCACGTGCCCCAAAGCTGCAGACTTAACTGAAAGCAGCTCACAGAAGTGTTCCTGTCTTTAACATTCAGATGCCCAACTCCCAATGGGGTCTAAACCCTAAATAAATCCGTTTTAGCCGGTATAAAGCTTATACAGGATAAACTCCTAAATTGTTTGCCCTCTATATCACCGATAGAGAGAGATGCACAGCTGTTCCCCACCCCACCCCCCAGGTATTAATACATACCCTGGTTTTTTAATAAGTAAAAAGTGATTTTATTAAATACAGAAAGTAGGATTTAAGTGGTTCCAAATAGTAACAGACAGAACAAAGTGAATTACCAAGTAAAATAAAATAAAACACGCAAATCTAAGCCTAAAACAATAATAAAACTGAATACAGCTAAAATCTGACCCTCAGAGATGTTTCAATAAGTTTCTTTCACAGACTGGATGCCTTCCTAGTCTGGGCACAGTCCTTTCCCTTGGTACAGCCCTTCTTCCAGCTCAGGTGGTAGCTAGGGGATTTCTCATGATGGCCCCCTCTCTTGGTTCTGTCCCACCCACTTCTATATCTTTTGCATAAAGGGGGAATCCTTTGTCTCTCTCTGGGTTCTCACCCCCTCCTTCTCAATAGAAAAGCGCCAGGTTAAAGATGGATTCCAGTTCAGATGACCTGATCACATGTCACTGTAAGACTTCAATACCCACTTGCCAGCACACACATATACAGGAAGACTTACCAGTAAAACAGCCATCTACAGACAATTGTCCTGGTTAATGGCAGCCATCAAGATTCCAAACCACCATTAATGGCCCACAGTTTGCATAATTACAAAATAGGCCCTCAGAGTTATATTTTATATTTCTAGTTTCAGATACAAGAGTGGTACATTTAGTAGTACATGCTCACACTCAGTAGATTATAAGCTTTGTAATGATACCTTACAAGAGACCTTTTGCATGAAGCATATTTCAGTTACATTATATTCATAATCATGAGCATACTTTCATAAAATCATATAGCGTGCAATGTCACAAGTGCATTGGGGGGAGGGGACAGAAGCCAGCTGTGTGGGGGAGGTGGGGCCCAGACACTGGCATTGATAGCCTAGAGCCAGCTGTGTGCTGGGGAGACAGGGCATGAACCAGCTGTGTGCAGAGGAGATGAGCAGAGGAGAGGTGCTGTGGACGCAGTCGAGAGCAGGTGCGAGCGCCGTCCACTCTGCAGCATGATGAGAGAACCTGGTGTCCTACTGCCAACTGCCCTGGCTGTCATGGGGAAGCTGCAAAGTGGTTTTGCTGAGCCCAGACTTCTATGAGGAGCAAGTCTCAACAACAGCCAGCCTCCAGTCTCTGCCCTGCACCCTGGGCAGGAGTCAGGTGTCTCTGGGCAGAAATCTGGAGGGTTGTGACCCTGCATGCCCCATCCACCCTCTGTTCAGCAATTCCTGATATGAAGGGTGGTTCCAGAAATGAAGAATAATTTCAGAAAAAAATACAGTAATAGCAGCAATTTCCAGAAAACACTGACCCTCCTCGTAACATTAAATACAATAATCACAAGGCGTATGCCTCTGTTCATCAGATCGGTCACTCTGCCTTCACATAGTTCACTCTGCTGGTGGGTTCTGCCCCTTCCCCCATTCTGTGTCTGTCTTGTCTATTTAGATAGTAAATTCTTCAGGGCCACAGAGAAGGTTTTGGAATTAACTGACAAACTTAACAGTAACAAGTCACCGGGACTAGATGGCATTCACCCAAGAGTTCTGAAAGAACTTAAATGTGAAATTGCGGAACTATTAACTATGGTTTGTAACCTGTCCTTTAAATTGGCTTCTGTACCCAATGACTGGAAGATAGCTAATGTAACGCCAATATTTTAAAAGGGCTCTAGAGGTGATCCCAGCAATTACAGACCAGTAAGTCTAATGTCAGTACCGGGCAAATTAGTTGAAACAATAGTAAAGAATAAAATTGTCAGACACATAGAAGAACATAAATTGTTGCACAAAAGTCAACATGGTTTCTGTAAAGGGAAATCATGATTTACTAATCTATTAGAGTTCTTTGAAGAGGTCAACAAACATGTGGACGAGGGGGATCCAGTGAACATAGTGTCCAGAAAGCCTTTGATAAGGTCCCACACCAAAGGCTCTTACGTAAATTAAGTTGTCATGGGATAAGAGGGAAGATCCTTTCATGGATTGAGAACTGTTTAAAAGATAGGGAACAAAGGGTAGGAATAAATGGTAAATTTTCAGAATGGAGAGGGGTAACTAGTGGTGTTCCCCAAGGGTCAGTCCTAGGACCAATTCTATTCAACTTATTCATAAATGATCTGGAGAAAGGGGTAAACAGTGAGGTAGCAAAGTTTGCAGATGATACTAAACTGCTCAAGAGAGTTAAGACCAAAGCAGACTGTGAAGAACTTCAAAAAGATCTCACAAAACTTAGTGATTGGGCAACAAAATGGCAAATGAAATTTAATGAGGATAAATGTAAAGTAATGCACATTGGAAAAAATAGCCCCAACTATACATACAATATGATGGGACTAATTTAGCTACAACAAGTCAGGAAAAAGATCTTGGAGTCATCGTGGATAGTTCTCTGAAGATGTCCACGCAGTGTGTAGCGGCGGTCAAAAAAGCAAACAGGATGTTCGGAATCATTAAAAAGGGGGTAGAGAATAAGACATAGAATACCTTATTGCCCTTATATAAATCCATGGTACGCCCACATCTTGATTACTGCGTATAGATGTGGTCTCCTCATCTCAAAAAAGATATACTGGCATTAGAAAAGGTTCAGAGAAGGGCAACTAAAATGATTAGGGGTTTGGAATGGGTCCCATATGAGGAGAGATTAAAGAGGCTAGGACTTTTCAGCTTGGAAAAGAGCAGACTAAGGGGGGATATGATAGAGGTATATAAAATTGTGAGTGGTGTGGAGAAAGTGAATAAGAAAAAGTTATTTACTTGTTCTCATAATATAAGAAATAGGGGCCACCAAATGAAATTAATGGACAGCAAGTTTAAAACAAATAAAAGGAAATTCTTCACACAACGCACAGTCAACTTGTGGAACTCCTTGCCTGAGGAGGTTGTGAAGGCTAGGACTATAACAGGGTTTAAAAGAGAACTAGATAAAAATTCATGGAGGTTAAGTCTATTAATGGCTATTAGCCAGGATGGGTAAGGAATGGTGTCCCTAGCCTCTGTTTGTCAGATGGTGGAGATGGATGGCAGGAGAGAGATCACTTGATCATTACCTGTTAGATTCACTCCCTCTGGGGCACCTGGCATTGGCTACTGTCAGTAGACAGGATACTGGGCTGGATGGACCTTTGGGCTGACCCAGTACGGCCGTTCTTATGTCCTTACTGACCATCTACTCTTCTGGGTTTGTACTGTGCCTACAACAATGGGGACCCACTGTTAGTTGGTCGTTAGGAACTAAGATAATGAATATGATTTATAATAATAATAAACTCTCCTGCCACTTTGAGCCAAGGAAGCTGGCCCTGGGATGTTACTACTTAAAAATGATCTGGGCTTAAAATCATGGAATATTCCTTGTGACAACTATCCCACAAATTCCACTGACTTCCCTTGTTTTCTTTGCCTTGAACAGGGTTTCCAGTTTCCAAACCTGATGTGATCTCGCAGCTGGAACGAGGGGAAGAGCCATGGGTCCCAGACCTCCACGGCTCCGGGGAAAAACTGCTCTCGAGAGCTGCCTGCACAGGTGAGGAATTGGTTAAACCAACTCAAAAATTGTCCATGAATACAGGAAACATTTGGGATACCCTACCAAGACTTTGTGAGCTCTCCAAGTTCAGAATTGTTCCCTGTAGATGTGGAATCATTAGGCAGATGTCACTCATGGCTTCCCACGTATCCTGACTGACAACTGGCAGCAGATCCCTCCCCATCTGGCCTTCCCCTGAGAGAGCTGGTAAGATGCGGACCCAGAACTAATCCCTTCCTCTCTCTCCTCTGGGGAAGGATTTGGGGAAAATCAGCTCCTGATAGGTTTGATTTCTCCTGCACATATTTTGCTTTGTTCATCCCTTTTTCCATTCTTCTCTCTGAGATTTCCTTTCTCTCTGGCACAGGGAATGACCTATGTCTGGATTCTCTCTGTCTCCCATCAGGTGTTGGGATGGTGAGCGAGAACAAGGAGAAACCCCAGCAGGAAGATGCTGAGCAAGTAGAACCACAACGGACATTATCAGGAAGATCCAAAAGGAATGATTCTGGGAGTAGTGCACTTCAAGAAAAAGAAAAAGCCTGTGAGAGTCAGCACAGGCCAGAGGAAAACTTCAATAGCCACTCAGACCTTGTTACACTTGAGAGAATGAACTTGGAAGGAACATGCTACACATGCCCTGAGTGTGGGAAACGCTTCAATCGGAGCTCACACCTTATCACACATAAGAAAATCCACACGGGTGAGAAACCTTATGGATGCCCTGAGTGTGGGAAACACTTCATTGATAGTTCAGCCCTTATCACACATCAGCGAATCCACACAGGAGAGAGGCCCTACATATGCTCCGAGTGTGGAAAAAGTTTCATTCGGAGCTCACACCTTATCGCACATTGTAGAATCCACACAGGAGAGAAACCCTATATGTGCTCGGAGTGTGGGAAATGCTTCATTAGTAGTTCAGCCCTTACTACACATCAGCGAGTCCACACCGGTGAGAGACCCTACATATGCTCTGAGTGTGGGAAAAGCTTCAGTCAGAGCTCTACTCTGATCATACATCAGAGAAGCCACACAAGAGAGACACCCTACACGTGCTCTGAGTGTGGGAAACGCTTCAGTTATAGCTCAGCCCTTACTGCACATCAGAGAATCCACACGGGTGAGAAACCTTATGAATGCTCTGAGTGTGGGAAACACTTCATTGATAGTTCAGCCCTTATCACACATCAACGAATCCACACAGGAGAGAGGCCCTACATATGCTCCGAGTGTGGAAAAAGTTTCATTCGGAGCTCACACCTTATCACACATCGTAGAATCCACACAGGAGAGACGCCCTACACCTGCTCTGAGTGTGGGGAACGCTTCAGTTATAGCTCAGCCCTTACCACACATCAGAGAATCCACACTGGTGAGAGACCCTACACATGCTCTGCGTGCGGGAAAAGTTTCAATCACAGCTCTACCCTAATCACACATCAGAGAACCCACACAGGAGAGACACCCTACGTGTGCTCTGAGTGCGGGAAAAGCTTTAATCAGAGCTCTGTACTGATCGCACATAAGAGAATCCACACAGGTGAGAAACCTTATGGATGCTCTGAGTGTGGGAAACGCTTCAATCGGAGCTCATACCTTATGACACATAGGAGAATCCACACGGGTGAGAAACCTTATGGATGCTTTGAGTGTGGGAAACGCTTCAATCAGAGCTCACACCTTATCACACATCGTAGAATCCACACGGGAGAGACACCCTACACATGCTCTGAGTGTGGGAAACGCTTCAGTCAGAACTCAACCCTTATTAGACATCAGAAAATCCACGAGAGTGATCTGTAACAAATGCCTTGACTAGGGCTGGCCAAAGTGTGGGGTTTTTAGTTTGTATGTTTGTTTTAAAATCACATTTGCTAATTCCCAAATAGTGATCTTTGCACCATCTTCAGCGTGGTCTCTCAGCTCCCCCAGATGAGTTGCGTGCTTCTGCCTTTTGCAGCTCACCCTTCTTTGGGATCAGTCCTGTGATCTTTTCTATCAACTCCTTTCCTTTTGAGTTGAAGGAGTGTGTCCCACCAGCCAGGAATGTTCATCAGTTCCAGGTGGGGAAGAGAGGTTTTATCCCAACAAGCTACACTGAGGCAAAAACCACCTGTGCCTTACATCCACTAGGACTGTACTAGGTGTTGGCTGCTCAAGTTAGTGATCTTGATGTAAAAAGAGAATTATAGTTGTACTGCAGATGCAGCCCAGGTGCAGTGGTTGGCATTAGCTTTCCCCTTGACCTGACCTAAACTCCACCACTTTTCCTAGTCTAAACAAACCCTGAGCATCACGGTTATACTGTTCCCCCATTTCAAAGCAATTGATAGTCATCAGGTTCCCCCTTTGGCAACAAGTTGTTTCATTCCCAGTTGCTTTCATGTTGCTTCAGGTTGTGTTGGAGAGCAGATATTTTTATTACCATTTTCCTCACTTAAAATATATTGAACTATAACAAAGAGCAGGAACAGGGCAGCGATAGGGAAAAATGTCATTTCACCCTCTGTAACAACAGAAGAAGATAGGGTAAGTCAGAGGGATTCCCTTATTCCCCATCACCATCCCAACCCCCCTATTGTTCAAGTGGTTAGGTCAATATTTTCCCTAAAGGGCTGAGAAGAGGATTCCCTAGTAAATGACTTGTAACTAAGCAAAATACCCATGCATTTGGCTCCCAAAGCAATTGTGGCCCGGGACCTGCAGAAGGTCACTCCTGAAGATATCTCCTTCCTAATCAGCTGCATGTTGCCTATTATTTGGGAAATGCAATCCCTATCTAGGTAGGGATGGGAAAAATGGAAGTGACATTTCTCTTCAGCTCACCCCTGGGAGATGCTGCAAATGTGTAGAAAATGAAATCCGTGTTGAATGTGATATAGCTGCAGAAAGATACCTATTTTTAATAGCTACCTGAAATTTGGTGTCTTATGGGGATTCTAAGCTGTACCTGAATTTAGTCCCTAATTTAAATCTGTTGCACCACATTAAAGAAATAAAAAGGCATATTTGGGGGGAGTTATATTTCACTATCGCTACTGATCTGTTGTGTGGTTGGTGAAGAATTCTACGCCAGAAAAGTATAAAATTACTCCAAGTAAGGTCAAAGATTTGACAAGAACTCAGGTAGAAATTGCAGGTACTAGTGGTTGATTTTCACCCCAGAGATGGAAGCGATGGTGACCTGTGGCCCAGGTAAACTATTTTTAGAAAGCTGCTCCCTAGTTAAGTGGCATTGGTCACACTCCTAAAGTATGCCATGATTAAATTGGGAACAACTGTCTTTTACCATTTGGATCCAAAGTTTCATGAAGCACAGAGAGAAACAGCTGATTCCATCAGAGCCATTCCATGCCTCTGGGTCCCAATCTGGCTGCCTTGATGGAGAAGAAGCACTTCCATGCTGGACACATGATGGTAGCCAATGAGGGAATGTATCAGATTCCAAGTTCAGACTGCAGGATACATGAATGCTGAGTCCAGAGTCTGTGGTTTGGTCTCTTAGTTTTGCTATTAAGTCTTATACATTTGTACCACTTCTCCAGCTCCTGCTACCCTGAAAGATTAGAAAGTGTGAAAATAGAGCACAGGTAGTTTTTCTCATGACAGTATTTGGTCCTGCCATGCGGGTAGGGGACTGGACTCGATGACCTCTCGAGGTCCCTTCCAGTCCTATAATCTATGAATCTATGAATCTATGATGCAGCCTTCCCACGTAGTGTGAGACTCCTCCCATGAGTGTGGGTGGAAGAAGACCAAGGGAGAAATGAACTCTCAAAAATGGAAGGCTCCTAGGTTATTATAGAACATGACTTCACACAAAGCTGACTGGGTGGAAATGGGAATTAAGAGAAAACTGTCCTAGTGGTTTATATTTTGTAATATTTGAATAAGTTGTTACCAGTGACAATAAAATTAAACTTTAAGTTAATTAGTGTAACGTAAGAGGCTGATTATGTGATAACTTTCAGTGTTGCAATATAATTCATGTTTTCTTCTAGTTCTCTCCCTGCCCCCTCCTACTATATAGGAAATGGAGGCTAATCCTGAAATTAAAACTTCACTCCAAAGGAATTAGAGTGGGGGAATATGTGATAAAAATAGCATGCATGAGAGTAGAGACCCAGTATAGACTGTAATTATTTCTATTTAAAATGGAATTTATTTTGATAAATTTTAAAATAAATCTTGTTAAGAGGAAAATTACTTGAGACAAGATGTGTAATCTTTTACCCAGTTAGAGGGTAACACCCACAGAGTTCCCCAGATCTCTTGTTTGCAAAGCAAAGATGTCACATCAGGCAGGAGATGTCAAAATCTACAGTGGTGATGGATTTGTGATGGTAGCTTTTCTGGTTTGTTTTTTTGGTTTGTTTTGGTTTTTTTATTTATTTATTTTTCTTCTTCTTCTTTTTTTTTTTGGTTTTGCAACCAGTTATTTTTATAGGTGCTAAGGCCCCTTTTTCTTTTGAGCACAGCTGTTTAATCCTGAGGCCTGGCTCTGGAAACCACCTCAGAACTGGCCTTGTGTTTCTTTCATGTTTGATATCTTTGGGGTTCACACATCCATACTACATGCGGTTCACAGCAACAGAGACTTTGAGAAACCTGTTGGGTTAAGCAGGTATTTTCCAAATTGACATTGGGCCAAAGTCTGCCTCAATTCAGATGGATTGGGACACATCTGTGTCAAAGGAGTGGTTCACACCTGATTTGCCTAGTAACCTCAGGGGAGGGCTGGTAAGATAGCATCAGTAGGAATTGACAACAATGAAATTAAAGATAAGGTGAAAGACTCTCACCTTGCAGGTCAACAAGCCTGTTCTGTTCATTCCCTCTGACGCATCTGGCACTGGTCACTCTCAGGCAGCACACTGGGCTCGAAAGACCACTGGTCTGACCCAGTATGACCAGTCTTGCATTCTTATGTAAGCCATCTATGGCCTTGTCTAGACTGCCAAGTTTCTGCACGGTAAAGCAGCTTTCTGCCCTGTAACTTCTGAGATGTACACACTGCCAAGCCACTTCATGTGCACAAACTGCGCAGTTGACATGCAGCTTTCTGTGCTGGGGCTACAGTGCCTCGCTGCTGGTGTAGACAGCCTGGTCGCTTACAGCACTGCGCTTGGCCTGTGATTGGACTTCCTTTGACACAGATGTGTCCCACAATCCCTGTTCTCGCCTCTCTGGTCATCAGTTTGAACTCTACTGCACTGCCCTCAGGTGACCAACTGTGAACCCTACCCCTTAAATTCCTTGGGAATTTTAAAAGTCTCCTCCCTGATTGCTCGGTGACGCATGCAGTGGTCTCAGTGCATCTTTCAGGTGACCATGACTGCTCCGCGCACCAGGCGATCCCCGGCTTGCAGTAATGCCAAGCTACTGCACCTCATCAGCATTTGGGAAGAGGAGGCTATCCAGTTCCAGATGTGCTCCATCCATAGGAATTGTGATACCTACTGACAGATATCACAATGCATGAGAGAAAGGGGCCATGACTGGGACACACTGCAGTGCAGGGTCAAAGTGAAGGCACTGTAGAACACCTACCACAAGGTGTTGGAGGCAAACCACCACTCCGGTGCTGTGCCCACAATCTCCAGATTCTACAAAGAGCTGGACATGATACTTGATGGTGACGCCACCTCCATTGCGAAGGCCACTGTGGATATTTCGGTGGCTTGCATGCCAGTCGAGAGTGGACTGAGCCAGGAGGAGGAAATCTTGGGTGAGGAGGTGGCAGGGGACCAAGAGTCAGAGGATGACTCGCAGGTCAGAGATGTATGTAGCCAGGAGTTCTTCTTCGAGTGCTTGCTCATATCGATTCCAATTAGGGTGTGCGCGCGCTGCGTGCACGA